TCACACTTTCTCTGACCCTCAGTGACCTCTGACCTTCAGTGACCTCTGTCCTCCTGTTGCAGGTGTGTGTGTGCTGCATCTCTCTGCACTGACTGTTTCTGCAGGTGAGTTGATGGAAGTGAAAACCATCAGTGAGACTCCAACAAGAACACAAATACATTCAGTCTGTCTGTGTATCTGTCTGCCCTTCAGTCTCTCTGAGTGTAACTCCAGATCACAATCAGTTCTTCACTGGTGGTGCTCTGGTGATACTGACTTGTGATGATGATGATGGAAAAACAGTTGATGGATGGACAGTGAAGAGGACCAGAGGAGGACTCACTGAGAGGTGTGGAGCAGCTTCAGGCCTTGTTCTTAAAAATTCTCTGTGTCAACTCAAGTTGCGTAACCCCTCTGATGGAGCTTACTTCTGTGAAAGCTCATCTGGACAGCGTAGTGATGAAGTCAACATCATTGTTTCAGGTACAGATGTTCCAGCTGTGTCTGCATGACTCTGTGTGTTGGTGGAAGTCTGTCTCTGTATCACGCTGTTTGTGTCTGGTCTGGTTTGTGTTGGTCAGCTGGTTCCCTGATCCTGGACATCCCTTCATCTCCTGTGTGGACAGGAAGTAATGTGACTCTGCTCTGTAAATCCAGAGATGCTAAACCGGTGAAGTCTTATTTCTATAAAGACGGGGATATGATTGAACCTGATCCTAAAGAAAATTTGACTCTCACTAATGTACAAAAGTCTCATGAAGGTCTCTACTCGTGCTCCACTGAGGATCATCCACATACTCATGAAAGCAGACTGACAGTCAGAGGTCAGTTCAATGATCTTTCTTATTCAACCTATTTTCCTGGACTTTAGTAGAAATGTCATAAATATCAATGAAAGGTGGTAGGTTATATCTCACTTTATCGATACATGTTCTCTTAATGTATTCAGATCACATAAACTAGAAGAGCCAGAGAAAACTATCCCATCATTACAAAGGTTGGAATATTAAAGAAGGAACAAAGAAGTCCATCTTCACTGTGGTGGCACAAAACCTCAATTTGACTTTAAAACACTGCTGGATTTACTAAAGAGACTCAGTGTCAGGTTGTGACTGACAGATGTGAACATTAGTTTCTTTTCAGGCCCATGTTTCTCTTTCAAGAGGAGAATATTTGAATGAATCACACAAATGTGAGTCACTAAGGTTT